ATGTCTGTTCTGTTATATTATCATAATATAGCCGGGTTGTCATGCGACTGAGTTGCCATTTATTGGTCTGAAGTGTTGGCATAGCAATTGTAGAACAGTAGTAAAAATGTAGCAAAAAGCTTCTGTTCTTCTGGAGTCAGCTAAGGTTAAGAGTCTTACTCAAGGACACAATGGTCACAGTTAATAGATCTACCATTGTGGGGTTTGAACCTGCAAGCTTTGGTTTACCAGATCATTAGCTATATACATATACTGTATGGGTCAATGATGCTCGTTTTTGTAGTCCAGATCTAAAAAGTGAAAGAAATATAAAAAGCAATTCAAACAAAAAAATGACTCTAATGAACCTCTTCTATGATAAACATGTTTTCATTTTCTGAATAAATGTCCTTTTGATATTTTTTTTCTGCACCTTTAAAGTAAAAAATGTCAAGGTGATGTAACCATCCAGAGATTATAAATAAGACAAAATGTCATATTAAAATAATAAAATTCTTGTTCAAAGAAATGTTGTTTCTTCATAAGTAGTTTGGCATATTTAATTTTTAAATTATTATTTGTATAAAAAAAGAGTTAATTCAGCATAATCAAACAAAGTAAACAGTATTAAAAAGGTAGCCTATATATGACCGATTTAAAATGCATTTATCTGTTTTAAAATATTTTAATTTCTTTTCTTTAAAACAATTAAAAGCAGTTAGGCATTAAAATCAAAGTTATTTAAATCTGTAATATTTCACAATATTACTTAAATATTTTACTGTATTTTTATAAAATAAATGCAGCCTTTGTGAGCACAAAACCTTGAAAAAAAATCTTACCCCAGTTATGTAATTTTGATTTAAAATATTAATATTAAAATAAACGCTAATATATATTAAAAACGTCATCCAAATTAAAAACAGTGAGGCATAACCAACACACAGGAAGCCATTTTGTTGTCATGTGACAAGAACACCATCAAAACAGACAGGACTTCGTGACTGGGCTATTAAAAAGATAATATTTTGACCTTTTAATGAAAAGCCATGTTCAAATACTGTAATTTACGATTGAAACTTTTAAAAAATATACATTTGAGAACAGTGGTTACATCACTTGCCATTTTAGAGAGTTATTAAATCACCTTTTCTTGAAACTTTTCAACATTAACATTGACATCAGCAATGCTAAATATTACTTTCCCAAGAAGTTGGCACATTAAGCTTGATTTTTACAAAAATTCTCCTTCCTATCATCCTTATTTGTCACTGACACATCTGCATTTGCATACATCAATGTCACCTCTGTTATTTGTAATGATGCTTTGGCAGAACTGCATGCGAAACCAAATCTCTCTGTACGGATACTGAGAAGAAAACGGCACACGTCAGAGCATCTAACCTTAAATAAGCTCCAGACTCACCTGATCTGCGCAGGGCAGGCTGTGGACTGGGTAAACCGCTGCTGATGTGGTATGAGAAGCGCATGCTTTTGAACTGGCTGGAATAGGAGGATGAATTGTGCGGACTGGAGCTGATGAGATGAGCGCTCTTGGGTCGATTCAACTGCATCCCTGCCTGCGAAACCCTCACGCAGGCATATAGGACACAAGACGCGGACGGTTTCCAGTGAATGAGCTTTATGATCCAGGTCCAGCTATAAAAGCCGAATCTTCGAAACAGTCCCGGTCCAAAACCACCATCCACTCTCGCGTCCCGAGGTCGTCCTCCTCCTGTAGATGCTGGAAAGGGTGAATCAGGCGGATCGATCCCCCCTGATCAGCCGGTGGAGAGTAAATCCGAACAGAAACAGCCATCAACGATCGGTTTAACCAGAACCACATACAAGTCCAAGCAAACGTGATATAAAGAGCTCCCAATGCGCTTTTGTGAAATGACCTTTGTGAAATTCAATCATCTTCTTATGCCATTTGCAGTGTCGCGGTTACAGAATGTGCAGAACGCTATAAATCCATAACAGAAGAGATTATCATTATTACATGACGTTTCCAAAGCAAACGAGGTTCGAAGAACCACATTGACACTCGCGTTTTAAGACGAACTTTCCCATTTCACCTTCGCTAAACTTCTGGTTGCGGGATGTAAACGGCGCCGCATATTGTCGTTATTATCCCGACGGTTTTTTCCCCCGTTTCCTTTCGGTACAACCGTATCCCCCCAAAAAATTCACACTCAGCTGCTTCAAACACAATCCACATTCGCTGTTTGAAAACTCCTCCGACTGTCTGCGTGTATTTTAAGCGGGATCCTCAAACAAAACAAATGTTACAATGTCGCAACGTTACATTGTTACAATGTTGAAACGTTACAGTTCCGCTCTTGTCGCTCTCCGCCGGTTGCTTGTCTGTTCTTTTGTGGGACTCGACAACGCCAAAGTGTGTTAAACTGAAAACCTCCTCCTCCTCCTCCTCCTCCTCCAGGACATATGAAACCGAGCTTCAACCCCCTCCATCTCTCTCCTCTTTTCCCAAAGTCTGTTTCTCATTTTTCTCCCTCTCTCTTTCTTTTCCTAAGGGTCTGCGCTTGAAATCTGATGCAAAGGAAAAACTTTCAAAGGATTTGAACGTTCCCCCTTTCTGAAAAGAAATCCCAATCGGGGAGATCGTTTATATTTCATAAATTCATAAATAAACACTTACACCCCATAAAACTATGTGGATTTTGGAGGAGAGCTAAAGTGGTTGTAAACATGGACTCGTCCCATTTGACCTACATTGCACCAGTAGCTCAAGTTGAGAATGTTTCAAAGGGGGGCTGAACTTTTAGCCAGTTTTGAATGTGGGTGGATCTAATTGGGTGTCATGATATGTCATGAATAGCATTCTTTCTTCCTCTGGCTAATTTTTTATTTTACTTGTAATCTTGTGTACTGATGGCATTTATATGCAAAGTTGTATTTCTCTTACTGTTATATATGTTTATATGCAATAAAAAATACAAAAATAAATAAAAAATTTTTTTTTTTTTAAATGTCATGAATAGCACTCCATTGTCTGTACAACCCTTAAAGGAGTAGTTCACTTCCGGAACAAAAATTTACAGATAATGTACTCACCCCCTTGTCATCCAAGATGTTCATGTCTTTCTTTCTTTAGTCGTAAAGAAATTATGTTTTTTGAGCAAAACATTTCAGGATCTCTCTACATATAATGGACTTCTATGGTGCCCCTGAGTTTGAACTTCCAAAATGCAGTTTAAATGCAGCTTCAAAGGGCACTAAACGATCCCAGCCGAGGAAGAAGGGTCTTATCTAGCAAATCGATCGGTTATTTTCTAAAAAAAATTACAATTTATATACTTTTTAACCTCAAATGCTCCTCTTGTCTAGCTCTGCGTTTTTTCCCGGTTCATGACAGTTAGTGTATGTCGAAAAACTCCCATCTCATTTTCTCCTCCAACTTCAAAATCGTCCTACATCGCTGCTTTGCCGGGTTTTTTTTGTAAAGGGCATTTGATCTTCTTTGCATGTTCACTTTGTAAACACTGGATCGGTACTTCTGCAGCGATGTAGGATGATTTTGAAGCTGGAGGAGAAAATGAGATGGGAGTTTTTAGACCTACCCTAACTATCTTGGACCGGAAAAAAAACAAGAGTTCACCAGAGTTAGATAAGAAGAGCATTTGAGGTTAAAAAGTATATACATTTTATTTTTTTTTAGAAAATAACCGATCGATTTGCTAGATAAGACCCTTCTTCCTCGGCTGGGATCATTTAGAGCCATTTGAAGCTGCATTAAATCCGCATTTTGGAGGTTCAAACTCGGGGGCACCATAGAAGTCCATTATATGGAGAGAAATCCTGAAATGTTTTGCTCAAAAAACATAATTTCCTTACGACTGAAGAAAGACAGACATGAACATCTTGGATGACAAGGGGGTGAGTACATTATCTGTAAATTTTTGTTCCGTAAGTGAACTACTCCTTTAATGGCAAATGATGCATTGTTTAAATAATCAATGGTTGAATACCACAACATATCACAATAAATAATAATTGGTATTACACATTTCTAGAAAATTAACAAATGAAAAGCAGCAAAACAAATATTACCATGACTTTTTTTTAATTCTTTTTTGGTTTATCTATCTGCTTATCTATCTATTTTTTGGTGCTTAATTTATCATGGAAATAATGTCACACATAATTCAAAACCAATTCAAAAACATTAATGGTCCTAACAATAGATGTCAATAAATAATGTATCTTTTTAAAAATAATTTATGATCTTGGAGTAAAAATACCTCTGACATGTCCATGACAGGTTTTGTGAGATTAACCCGACTTTTTGCCTTTCTGTCAGCAGTGTGAACCTTCTGAGTGTGTTTCCCATAAATGAGCATGTTATGGGTGGAAAGGGCGCCATCAAATTCGGCAATGTTTATATAAGTTGAGTTCGTACAGGCTGAGTCAGTAGAGTCTGTCCAGCTGCAGGACTGGATCTCTTCACACGTCTCTCTATGCAATACATTTTTTGCATGTTTATCATCACTGCTTAATCATTGGAGTTATAATGACATACAGACCATTCTAAATCTATTCCTGCATGTGTCATATATAGTACAGAATTCAATCCACTTTTAACCTAAAAAACAAAACAAAAAAGAGAGACCAAAAAGGACCTGCCCACCAGTAACTACAGTGATGACAGTATTTGACTAGGAAGGTGGTTTGAGCCTTTTCTATAATTGTTAGCGTCAATTACACAGTTTGGCCATTAGATGTCAGTTTTGCTTAGAAAGTCAGATAAACAAGTAACCTGCCATACTTGCAGTAAAGATCAAGAAGTTGACCTTCAGTTGTTACACTGGAATTTATTTATTGGACATATAAAAACAAAACATCTGACGAAACAAATAAAGATTAAAAAGGAAGCATACATTCAGAATGGATGAAATGTCTGAGATCTCCCATCTTTCAGAGGTTTTAGATCTTTCTGATGATCTGGCATCTCTGTTATTCACTGGATCAGATCTTTAGATGGAAATCAAACCTTTTCCTGATATTCTGCATCAGTCCTTCAGTCTGCTAACTTCTGGACCACACAAAGATTTCCGACTTCTCAGGCTATACCTCGGCTGTGGGGGAAACAATGCAAGTATATCACCATACAGACATTTGCGACCAAAATACAGCTGGAAAACACATGCCATGTGGTTTTTACAATAAACATATATAATTACTTTGCTAGAAATGGATCAGTATTATCAGTGAGAAAAGTGCTAGAAATGTCTCTATACAGCTGAGAATTCTGAAACTTCAAAAAAGACTGACAAATTATATTTTTGTTAAATGAGTGAAATTTTTCAATGTAATATTTCGCAGCCCTGCATCATGGAAAAAAAAAATCTGCTGATTTGCTAAAAAGGCCTAATATTACCTAATTTGATGCTGTGTTCAAAAATATCACAAACTTTTGATCATTTACAAGTTTTTTTTTTTCCACAAAATAATACTCAATTTTCAAAGTAT